CTAAATATCATTTGGCTTTTGACACTGGTATTCTGTGTTTCTAAACCAAGCGTTCATGTTGGGTATTGTCTTGGCGTACTTGTCAATGTTCCAGATACGTTGACAAAGCTGGCATATAGACACGGCTTCATACCGATACTCTGGATAGTCTAGTTTTTGTTTGTATATTAGAGGATAGTCTTCAAATAGAACAAAATATTTGTCTTTTCCTTTCAACATGTTGATATACTCTTCATCGTGTGAGTTTAAATACATAATTCTCTCCGCAAGTTCTTTGGGTGATTTAAAATTATTCGTGTTTAAATAAATTTCCGAGGGTAACACTTGAGAGTAGCCCTCCCCTCCCCGGGCAATAACAATCATGTCCGTGTTGAGGAACCGGAACAGTTTTTCCGTTATGTAATCTCTACACAGAGAACTCTCGAACCCGAGGTAGAATTTGTACTTTTTATATATATCTTCAAGACACTTGGCATCTCTTGATCGGGGACAATATTTACCACCACAAATGCCAAAAACATCCACAGGTATGTATTTTTGCAATTCTTTAACGTAATTTTCTCTTTTAGAGTCCGATTTACAGTTAGATGACATCCAAGCCACGATTCCAGTTTTGTTTCTCAATATACTTTCATAATCTTTTACTATGGGATATAACCGCTTCCTAACGAGACCGTACGAGACGGGGACATCGGAGTCGGTCCTGAAGGACATGGTCCAGTTAAAGGCCGAGTTCCAGGACTGGTCTTTGGATATGATGTCGCCGTGGTGCCAGAAGGTGTGGATGTTGGAGGACTCGACTTGATAAAACACCAGGACTTGGTCAGGTCGTCGTTTTGGGGGCTTCTCTTTGTCCACAAACTGGACTGCAAATAGATTTTGTTTTTGCTCATAAGAACATTCCCAAATCAAAGCAATAAAACGCAATTTAAAATAACGATTTAAGCAGGCAAATTATTGCTTATGTCCCGAGTATGGAATTTTAAAACATTCCAATTGAAGCAAAACGGCCAAAAATACATTATTTATAAAAATAAAATTGTCCATGTTTGTGGATAGGACGCGACGGGTTCACCTGAGTACACATAAAAACACCACCAACACACACGAACATTTATATATATATATATATATATATATATATATATATATATATAAATATATATATATATATATATATATATATATATATATATATATATATATATATATATATATATATATATATATATATATATATCAGCGTTGCCGTGGGGCTAGAAAAGTATGACGAAATACGAGGACTATATTATTGCGTTACCAATCCTAAATCCTAAAAGTGGGATATTTTAATATAAACTATGAATAAATTTGAATCATATTTATTTGGGCACGGGTTTACCTACACTACAGCCAAGCAGGCACCATGGCGGGCTACTTGAAGGACTTGAGTGTACGTTAATCACTCACCGTAATAGTGAAGTAGAACACACTTCGGCGACCCCACAGGTGTCATCGACGAAGAGGAGAAGTCCCGGAAGCCAACTATAACACTATTGCAAGGGCGCTGCGTATTGCCCCTGACTCGGTTTAAGCATCAAATGGTGTGTGCTACATGTTTATTTGTAGGGTGCCCTTAGAATAATCGTAGTCACCATAGTTCTAAATGGATATCCCAGGACGCCTAATCGCACCCTGCCTGGGTGCGGTGGATGCGCCTGATTAAATTTAATTTACAGCTATAATACCAAAATCTTATTCTTAGTCTATCGCAATGTTTAAAACGTAGGTAGGCGCCTTAGCATTTATTGGATAGCACTGGGCGCCAAATCGCAATTTACCGGGGTGTCGACATACATGCCTAATTAAGTTTAGAGAGAGACTAAAATGCTCCATTGTATCGATAGTATGTCGGACTGTTTGAAATAAAAGTAGGCGCAACAGTAGCCACAAGGTAGCCCGGGGCGCCAAATTAACCCTGCCGTGGCGCCGGCGAACGCGCCTAATTTCACTTAGTGAAAGATTATAACACCCCATCTTATCCATATCCCATCTCACTGTTCAAAACGAACGTAGGCGCCATAGCGCTCTCGGAATAACACGCGCGCCAAATTGCACACTGCCGGGGAGTCTGCTGACGGGCCTGATTCAATTTATTGAACGACGATAATGCCCCATCGTATACATAGTCTATTGCACTATTTAAAACTAACGTAGACTCCATAGTGCTCACGGAAAAGCCCGGGAAGCCATATCGCACCTTGCGGGGCTTCGTGGACGCGCCTGGTTATGTTTAGTGAACGACTCTAAAACCCAAACTTATACATAGTCTATCGCACTGTTTAAAATTAACGTGGACTCAATAGCGCTCTTGGGAAAGCCCGAGACACCATTTCGCACCCTACCGGGGCTGAGCACTTGCGAAATTGGAAATGTTTTTTTGGAGAAACCTTCCGAGGAGTATTCTCAACAACTTACAAAAGTTTCATGGCGATCGGATGAAAGGTATAAAAATGTTTAA